CTGGGCGCGACTTCCTGATGAGCTCAAGTGCGAAGTTCTCTCGCACAATCTAACCCTGGATGGAAGAATCGACAAGAGGAAACACGCCCAGTGTCTACAGTCGGACCTGTTTCCACTCTTGGCCACGCGCAACCGTCATCTAGCCAACATCGCACAAGAAGTATATTACAACAAAAATGTCTTCGAGCTGTGCATCGGGTGCCGCATGCAAACAGGCGACGTCGAACTTGGCAAGGGCTATTCGTTTTCCCCTGAGGACCGCATCAGCGGTCTCTGGTGTCCCAAGCCACATACGGCTGCCATGATACGTCATCTGCATATTGTGGCGATGAACTGCAAGGTCGGTATAGAGAAGGGACTTATATGTGCCTCGCACTCGACGACTTGGATGTACCTTATAGATCTACCTCCCCGAGACTATTGGATTAACGGTACCAAAGATGATGCACCTCGCGCCAATATAAACCCTGGATGGCAAGAACGCTTCGTCAACCTACATACCCTTAGGATCGAGTGGCGTCTTGAACGCGATATCATGCCCGGATGCTTTCTCGAGGATGGCATAGGAGACACGTTGAGAGCTTGTATAGAAAAATCTGGGATACGTCTCCGGGCACCGAAGGTGGAGTTTACGGTCCGTGATACTTACAATGGCCGCCGGTTCTTGTGGCACTATCATCCTTGCGAGCAGGATCATACCGAAGTCTTTCAACATCTAAAAGACATGATTATGGGCAAGGAGCCTTGAGTCATGGTACAAATCATCTGGAATTGTAAGATATGCGCCGGGTGGTGTTGAACATGAAGAATGAACGGGAAGGCTACAAGGTCTGGACGTGCAAGATCCTCGTCTCAAGTTTCCAATAGCTGCTTTTTACTATCCAGAATGCTAATGAATATATCCTCATTGACCAGACCCAGGCATGGCTGAGATTCACGTCCAATCAAGAAGCTGATCATCTTCCTCTGTCGGGACGACCAAGACCCTCGCCACATGCGGCCATAACACAAAATCCCACAACCAATAGCCCTCCTCATTCAGATGCACATGGTCGTCAAGCATATTCTTGATGAACATGTGCCTCGTATCAACCCACTTCACTTTGTCCTCGCGATCCCGTTCAGTCTGATCCTCATATGTCTGCAGCGCGTGCTCCTTCTCAGCCCGAAGAGCCCCGTTGATCTCTCCAACAACCTCCCTTAGCATCTCATTACTCTGATCCACAATAGCATCAGGTATGTCCAGTCTATACGACATATCGCAAGCCAACACCGTACTCTCCGGTGCAATCCTCAAGCATGCCTCCACCAACACTCTCCAGCTCTCCACATCCTGCTTTTGAAACGCACGCTTCTTTTGCAGATTGTTCGTCCCGGAAGCCACGATCCAGAGTTTGATGTCGCATACGTCTTTCTTCGCCGTCTTGAGCAAGGAGTAAAGACCTCCCGCGAGTCGGTAGGCGACGTTTTGGTTGCTGTCGCCGCCTACACCGGCGTTCCATGCGACTCCCGTGTCGCTGAGCTTGCCGATGTCGGTGGTGATGCCGCTGGTTTTGAAGCGCTCGAGCATGGAGTTGCCGAGGTAGACGACACTGATGGGAGATGTGTTTGCGAGGTTTGGTACGGGCGCGTCTGGTGCGGGGGGAGAAGCATCTTCGCTAGGTGTAGGTAACGGGGTATCGAGTTGAAGTCGCGCGATGAGTTCTGGTACGTGTACTTGGTGGTGCGTTTGGTGCGAGCGTTCCTTGAACTTGGCGAAAGACTGAAGCTTTTCTAGGAACTCGGCATCAGACAGGTGCAGGAAGTTTGTCTTCGCGTCTTTAGGTATGCTGGACGCTGCATTGCTCTGTTGGGCGCTGGAAGACATTTTCGTATTGACTTGAGTGTTAAGGTTTTGCGAGGTTCAACGGCGCGATGTTTCGTTGGTGTAATTTGTCGAAGTAGAAGTTGCAATGAGAGCAGGATGTATGCGAACCGCTCGATTGGGGTGAGCGTGGGATGCGACTGCTAATCTGTGGTTAAGGGTAGAGAAGGCGACGAATCAGCGCGTAGATATCAACAATCGTTCCTGCTTGCAGCTAGATTGCGGCAGCAGGAAAGGGCGTCACAGTTTTAAGGGCTGATGCGTTAGAGGATCAATGAGAATACCTTCGCGACCATGCATCTGAGTAGCTAACTTTATACACCTAGAAGCTCGCTCACTCGCTTGTCAAACATGCATCTCGTCTAGATTGTTTGGGTGAGACGATACTTCCCCACGTCCAATAGCTTACCGCTCCATCTCTCAAGTTCATAAAAAAGAGCGCATCGTATGTCCACCGCCACGTTGCTACTTCCGAACTGGATAATCTGCCCACCTATGGTGCCCATATGGCGAGTCCTTCGGCCGAGTCGACACGGTCTTGATCGTCACACGATGCTGGTCTTGATAAACGCCCACATGGGCAATACCAGTGAACTTCGACCTCTCTGTAACGTATTCAGTCCTCTCTTCTATGTCTTTATCGTCAAATATATAGAAGCGTTGCCATCGTTCTTCTCGAGTTCCGTTGGCTTTCGGGTCAAGCTGCTTGAAATAGAGTGATTCCACTGCATCGATATCGACGTCGCTTCCTCCGAGTATGACTGGTGTGATTGATATGATTGATATGATGGTCAGATGGCGCGTGGGAAAGTGAATTGGGCCGAGCCGCTGAAAATACGCCTCGAAATACGACCTCGGTCCGTCGTCCTCCTCATTGTTGTAGAACAGACACTCCGGGTCGAGGTTGACGGTCAAGTAGTGTAAGTTAGGAAATGTTGACCCATCCCCGATTTCCCTCAATAATTTTAGATGATGAGGCTTGTTGTAATCGAGGTTAATCTCGAGACGGCGAACAAAAGGCCTTACAACAGGTGGCGGACAGTAGCAAAGAGTCCTATTCGAAGAGGGGGTGGCGTTGGACAGCAACACCGTTCGATTGACCCCATAGAAAGCTTCCAGAACAAGGGGCTTGATTTCGGGAACAGAGAGGAGGGGCATCACTGTCTCTTTCAACAACCGCCTTGTCTCAAGCGTACGGTACTGAAAAAGATCGCGGTCGAAACAGTCTTGGGGATAACAGAGATAATGAAGGTCGCAATTATCGAGCCAAGCGCAGGCTGTCACGGCTGTTGGAGTGTGGACGGTGTAGCGTAAGATGAGCAGCTTCAGTTCTCCAGGGAGGCTGTGGAAACCTCGGAGGAATGAGTCGGTTTCGGTTGTCATATTGGTAGTCGTCATTCTTGGTTGGGTGATGAGTCTCGTATGGTGTGAAGGCGTTGATGATATGAGCAAAATTTATGTATAGAGTAGTGGCCTCAGAGCGGGACGCAAGGCAGGTACCACCTGAGGTCAAGTCCGTGCAGCGCGACTCACCAGGCAGGTGCAAAACTAACATTGTGCAGTGAAACGCTTACAAGGTCCTGAATGGCAGTGAAACTTCGGTGGGGTTGAGATTAAATAGGCTTACGATCTGCGCAATAACGACTATAATATGAAAAGCTCCTGGGAAAGACGTTCCTTATCGAGGTTGAAAATTGTTGTATACATGACAGTCAAGACGCTACCGCTCATGTCCAGGACATGCTCTCTGACGACTTGATGGGAATTATGCGCCATGACACCAGCCCGTATAACCTTTGGAGCTTGTCCTAATAGCACCTTCACATGTCCCACGCTTCTGTCACTCTGCCACGTCAATTCGGCGCAAAGCCGACAAATATCCCTCGTTCAAGCAGTCAAAATGCGCCTCGGAGGAGAAACGCCCCAGAACAGTGGTTCGAGGCCTTGTGGTCTTGGAGACAACTCTCACGCTATGTAGTGACTCGGAATTGGCGGTCTTGTCATACCGATGATACCACGTTCGATCGTGCGCTCGCAATGACCGTCACAGCGAGTGCGCTCATGAGCATGCTCGACTTCGACCTGGATGTTTTTGGCCTGCAACAATAGGCGCGCCTGCTCTGGCAGTCGCTCGAAGAATACATTCGATTCTTCCGGAAGACAGTAAGGCAAGTGGATCACAATGCGGAGTTCTTTCAACGAGGTGAAGTATCTTCCCCAGCCAGCCTTGGCCTTACCGTCATTTGCCCACGAATGCGGCTCCAGAATAAAACAGGTATACCCAGCTGTGAAGGACGCGCGACGTGGATGAGCTAGGACAGCTAGTTGCGAGCCTTGGCAGCCGCCGCAGTAGAATGGGTTTAAGGGGTACCCGAGACCCTGGATTTCCATATGTATCTCGAGCTTCGTGACAAGATGTGCGACGGTCTTGGATGGATAACGGAAAGACAATGGGGTACGACGTGACCCGCGCACGACTAACCAGGCCAACTTGAATGTGTTTTCGTGGTAATAGATCTGGAAAGCAATACTACACAGTTCTTTGTTGGCAAGCGCGGTGTTCAGAAAGCGGGGTCCGTAGATAAAGTCATGGCTACGACAGGTGACACTCCAGGGAAAACGGAGATGGTGTCGAAAGATCTCAAGCTTAAGCTCCTCCGGAAGGTCATTGAAGCGATCGAATTTGACATCAGTGTCGGAAGAAGTAGTGGAGAGGAGTAAGTCCTCCGGTGAGTTCTCGGGGACGTCGATGGCGGGTGGGAGATGGACCACCGAGTCTTCGGCCATGTTGTCTTGGGCGATTTCGAATCTTGGCTTCAGATCCGAGAGACTGACGGGGTTGGAGATTGACCGGGTGCGTACTTAACAGCTAAGTAGCTTGGGTGTGTTGTCAGTGGAGCTGCTGGATGCCCACCAGTATTGGGGTGGACAAGGAGCTCAGTCTGTGCGCCCTCCACGGTCTAATCCACTTCTAAACAACGCTGCTTGACCAATCGGATGGGCAATACCACGACGTCAGCAGTCGGACAGTTTCTCAGGCAACGCAGTGACGCTTTTTCCGAGGAAGGGGACAGTGCCAAAGGTCTCGTGCGATCTACAGTAATCCCGATCCCCGCTCGGCAGCGGCTAAGTTCGCTCAATCTACATCTGCTTCATTATCAATGGTAAGCTCTACCATACCATTGACCGAACATGTGTCTGGCCGAATGAACCAGCGAGCGGCGGCCATGCTGACTGTGCCTGCACTCATTGCCAGTGTCGCAATGTGCGGCTTCGGTAGCTCTTCTAGCACAGCCTGGTTGTCTCTCGGAAAGTCCGCTGCCTTTGCAGACCGCGAGTAGAAGATACGAGATGACAGAAAGGGTACATAAGTACTGAGTCGGAAGAATCGCGGGTGATGACTCTCGGCCTTCGAGGTTGATGTGTCAGATCGTTGTCTTGATACCTTCTTGACATTGACGTCCTGAGTCTGCACAATGTCACGAGCTTTCTTTGGAATGACGAGCGACTTCCGGGTCTGGTTTTGACTCCTTCTCTGGTCGACAGGTAGGGTTGAAACAGTGTTGTCGGCAACAAATGGACTGACAGAGGCTACGTCTAGATCCATAACGCAAGGCTGCCAGCTCTCATTGAACTCCACGGGCTCGAACGATGCGCCTTTATTGCGCATATAGCTCTGCTCGATGACACCAGAGCCTCGCAATAATGTTGGCTGTGAAGCGCCATGAAAGTTGTGCAAATGCTGGAGGAAAGCGTCTTCAGATGTGTAAAACTCTTGATTGCACGAGCGATACCGATGGTAGTTCTGCGCATGTTCGACGTGGAACGTTCGATAGCCGGAGCCGCAAAGGTGACAATGGTGAGCTTTGGCCGAAGGAAAGTCTGGACACAGGGGCGGACCTGCATTGTCTGCAGCAACGTCGTCGAAGCTCCGGAGAAATCGACAGCTCCACACACGACAGTGAGAGTGTTCGTTCATATCTTTGACATCCGTAAAGACCTTTTGGCAGTATCGGCATCGGAAGGATTCGTATGGTGTAGTCGAGTAGAGGTTCTCCAAATGGTTTTCCTTGCGCTCGCTCCACCACACAGCACGGTCAAGCTCACGCGCGACGAGGTGCTCAGCAACATGCTCACATCGTTCGGACCAGTCTTTTGACTTCTTTCCGCAGAAGCCACAATGAAGCATAGGATCGTCAAGCTTCATTGGAGCACCGAAGCGACGCCACTTCATGGCGAGGTCCTTGCAACCAAAGTTGTGGCCTTCAGCGGCTAATAATCGAGCTTGACAGCCGGTACGTACGGACGGATGTTTGGTGTTGGCGAAGTGAACATGGTGCAGATGCTGGATGAAGTGATCGCGGCGATAGAAAGTTCGTTGGGATTCGGGCTTGCTTCGGCATTGTTGGTACTTGTGGCCAGCCAGGTGAGCATCGTCGGGATGGGCCTGGCCGCAGAATGGACATGCTTCAAGATTTTCGGATGACTTTGTGTCACAGCAAATCCAAGTGGTTCGAAGCGCGTGGACAGAGTCTTCGTGGCGTATCCATTCATACTTCGTCTTGAATGCCCGCGGACAGAAAGTACAGAAAAAAGGCAGATCTTTCTGGGGTTCACCTGCACTGTTCACACCGTTAATGGCTTGGCGAGGAGATTCTTTCCACGCCATCCGACGTCTACCTCGGCGGCGATCACGACCAAAGGACGAGGTTTTACTGCGGCTACCGCTGGAAGACACTGTGTATGTTGTGGGGGCAGTGCCTTCAGAAGAAGCAATCGAGGTGATGACGGAACCTCTGCGACCTTGTCTGGACTCAGACCATCCACTATTTGGGATGCTTTCGTTGAGAGACTCAACATCAACGGCAGCCTGTACTGCAGACAGTTCAACAGCTTCCTCTTGGTACGACTGTGCAAGGTATACCGCCAGAGGCGGCTGCGGCAGTTGATTGGCGTCATCTGCTTGCTTTTGGAGGCTTTCCAGACTATCCTTTGACAGCTTTGTCTTCAGAGTGCGATTGCTCTGGCCTGAACCATCCTTTACAGCAGGATGGGAATCTGAACAGGTAAGTCAAAGCATGATCTCATGGAATGGGATACGACTCACCTCCACACTTCTTCCTGGCTCGGGTGTTATTGAACCAGTTGCGGACTTTCTTCACGTCGAGATTGGCTTGATGTGCGATGATGTCCAATTCCCACGCGCAGGGGTACGGATTGGCCGCAAATTCGTCCTCCAACACCTGCCTTGCCTCAAGTGGAATACGGCACTGAGGACCCTTACGTTTGGCTGATGCTGGTTTCCAAGTGGCAATTGAAGGTTGTTGCTGGGATGCGGCCGATCTGACTGGTAGCTGCTCCAGTGCAAGGGAGGCATCGGCCGGAATCATTGAATGATCGAGAGCTGAAGGACGTAGCCCAAGCTGAGAGTGCGGCGCATCAATTAAGCTGCCTTCATCATCGCATTGCATTAGCGCAAGTGATGACAATGAAGGCGGGAGAGCGAGATCCGTCGCGTCGCGGATCCTGTGGTCCTTCGCATGTTCCATATCAACCGTTTGCCAATCGACGTCTGCTCCTGGGTCTACACTCGTTTCAATCATAGACGTCGCTGCATATGTAGTTGGGTGAGATGTTGGCCATTGCTGGTTTATATCGGCAGAGGAGAGATCGTGTGCCACGTCGTACATGGGCACGTCGTACAATTGGAGGGTATTTTGGGCCGCTGGTTCCAAAGCGAAGTCAATAGCCGTGACATTGTCTGGTTGAAAGTATGGCACCGTTTGCTCACTTGAGGCATGGGTGTGTTCGACTTCGTTGTTCTGTTCAAGAGCGGCGAAATCGAAGAAATCGTTCATCCTGTCGAGCGCGTCGGGATCCATCGTGACGCGTCTAGTGCGGCCCTGGTGGACGCGCTGAGAGTGGTTTATCCTGGAGCCAGGCAATTTGTCATTGGCAGGTCAATAGGTCCGAATCGAAAAGAGAGACATCTGATGTTTGGGGGTCGCATGACAGAACGTGGAAGCCGGCTTGACGCTGATGAGGTTGAAGGTGCTGCGCCGTCCGTCGTCTATTGATGAACTGGGTGCGCCCGGGCGATCCTCCAGGCAGCCAACACTAGTCAGCTCATGCTGTGTGACGAAGAGACCGGCGTTTTCCTAGCATGATAGCAATTCATCAAGGCGATCTTGACAAGTAAACCTCACGGCACGGATTATCAGGATCTGCTCACTCGCGACTTTGATGCTGATATTAATCACGGTCGGCATCTGTCCGCGTTCAGGCCGGGAAGGCGCCACCATCCGATGTCGTTAGCGTGACTTCCTGACCCACCGAAAAGTTCCTCCACCCGAAAAGCTCACGACATTCGCAACTTCACGCGCATTGATCGCATCCAACTTTCACAATGGCGGCCGAAGTACAACTCCTGCAGCCCTTGAAGCTGCCAAAGGGGCCTTCCACCCTTACGTCTGAGCAGAAGTACTGGAACTCATTCGCCTCGGAGCTCAAACTCGACCCTTCGCAACATTCCTCGCCCGTAACTCACATCTCGATACCGCCCCCTCAGCCCGCCAATACGCTTTCGGCCACCCAGGACCTCTTCGCAGTCACCACGGGATCGCGCGTCCAGATTTTCTCCTCCAAGAGCCGAAAGGTCGTCAAGACGATATCGCGCTTCGGCGTCGACGACGTTGCGCATTCCGGGAACATACGACGCGATGGCAGGATTCTGGTTGCAGGAGGAGATACTGGTGTCATACAAGCGTTCGATGTCAAGAGCAGGGCCATATTGAAGACATGGAAGGAACACAAGCAGCCCGTCTGGGTCACACAGTGGAATCCCACAGATCTTACTGGCCTGATGAGTTGTTCCGACGACAGAACCGTGCGATTATGGGACCTGCCGAGTGAGAAGAGCGTCATGAAGTTTGACGGGCATCAAGATTACGTGCGCAGCGGCACCTTCATGCCTGCGCAAAGTGGGCTGCTCGTATCTGGAAGTTACGATCAGACGGTGCGACTCTGGGATTCGCGAGTAGGCGGAAAGGCGGTGATGGTGTTCAAACACGCTGCGCCCGTCGAGACTGTCCTCCCTATGCCGTCTGGAACGGCCGTCCTCGCGGCAGCCGACAATGTCATCAGCGTTCTCGACATCGTGGCCGCAAAGCCGATCCACATGCTGCGCAACCACCAGAAAACTGTGACCGCGCTCTCACTAGCGAACAATGGCGAACGCCTCCTCTCCGGTGCTCTCGATGGCCACGTCAAGGTCTTCGAAACAACAGGCTGGAACGTCGTCGGTGGGATGAAGTACCCTTCGCCTATCCTGTCGCTCAGCGTCATCCCGAACCAAAAGGAGGACAGACACATTGCGGTGGGTATGCAATCCGGTCTTCTATCGATCAAGACACATCTTTCCGGCGAGCAGAAGGTTCAGGCTCGTGAGCGAGAGAAGGAGATGAAAGCGCTCATGGAAGGCAAGATCGAAGAGTACGACAGGAGCAAGAAGCGGAAGCGTGGAAAGGGCTGGGAAAAGCGCATCCGAGGCAAAGACTTCACCGGCGAGAGCGCAGACATCGTGATCGAGGGCAATGCGCGGGGAAAGATCACGGCCGGACAACCGTGGGCGCATGCGCTGCGAAAGGGCATGTACGCGCAGGCGCTGGACATGGTGCTCGAATCAAAGGTATGTTTTCCATTCTCCTGTACACCCCTGAGACTAAGACTAACATCTCTCAAGGACGCAAATGCCCGGAGCCAGTCCCTTACCCTCCTGACCGCTCTACGCCACCGCTCTGCTCTCCGAACTGCTCTCAGCAATCGCGACTCCGTAACACTCCAACCCATCCTCCGCTGGTGCATAAAGAATGTTTCCGACTACCGCATCACACGTCTGACGACCGACGTCGCGCTCGTGGTCCTGGACCTATACGCCGATCAACTGGGCAGAAGCGAGGAGGTCGACGATCTAATCATGGCGCTGATGCAGCGAGTCAAGGTGACCGTCGAAGCAAGCCAAGACGCATGGAAGGTACGTGGCATGCTAGATATGCTCGTCAGCAGCGTCGGCGCAGTAGACGGCGTGGAAGCATGAGAATGGTAAAGGGATCTTTTGTTTGCATAGCGAAGGCGTTCAGGATCTTGTCACATGTTCAAAAAGTTGAAAAGGCAGCAGCAGCCATGTACGTTATGCACCTTGGATGGGTGATAGAGAGATACCCGGATAAAGCGATTGGTATTGCTTTGGATGATGGGGAACGGTTGATCTTGAATGGTATATTGTACAAGCCAGTTTTGTTCCACCGGCAATATATGCTATACACTGAATTCGTACAATCGTTTACCACAGGCAGTATTGCCGTTGTGATGTGACGGGTCGGTCGGGAAGTGCGGTCCACAGCTTGCGGTTGTCGCGCTTCTTCTGAATCTCGTCTGAGATGCGCAAGCGCGTCTTCTCTTCCTTGAGAAGAACGGAGAAACCTGTCATGCAATGTTAGCGCCCAATTCTCCAAATTAAAGTGTGCGACAAACTCACTCGTCGTCCGGTGCTTCAGCATGTTGATAGCACCCCGCGCCCTGAACTCAGGGGTCTTCCAGCTCTGCCCGGGTCCCACCCACGCCTGGTCAATGTAGATCTCGCTGGGGTCGCGGACCACCTTCTTACTCCCATCCTTCAACTGGATCGTCGTGTCCTTGAAGAAAGGCACCTTAACCGACTTCGCCTCCAGACTGCCATTCGTTTTCGACGTCTTGTAGTCCCAAGTGTCCTTCGGTCTCCCCGCATCCGTAGCTGCTCTTTGCTTTTTCCAACGCGACACCGCAGCGTCTTCGCCAGCGAGACCCATGCCGCGGGCCGCAATGGCTTCGTTCTGCGCAATTTCGAGGCCCTTGATGACGTCGCGGGCCACACGTTTCGGGGAAAAGCGGAGTTGGACGAGGGCTTCCGAGACAGTCTTTCCGGCGATCTGGTTTACGACCTTCTGCAGCTTCTTGGTAGACGTAGGAAGGAGTTGTGACCTGTAGAGTGACTGGCGTTCGGTACGGAGTAACTTCTGCGCCTTTGTCATGCGGCCGTGGCGCTTCACGCCGGAAATGACGAGTTTGCGCTCGAGACGCCTGCGGGCTTTCTGGTCGGGATCGAGTGACATATCCATGAGCTTCTTGTCCTCCTTAAGCCCCTCTTGTTGCTCTCCCTTGCGGTATTTCGCCTTGAGTTCGAGTTTCTCCTGTGGGCTCAGGTCTGGCCGCCAGCCGGGGATGTCGCTTTCGGGTGGGAAGAGGGAAGTTGGGGTTACGGCGAAGTCTCCTTCACGAGGAGTAGGGCGTACGGGCCCTGCTGATGCGTCTTTTCCTTTCGCACCTGTTCGTTTTGCCCTCTTCGATAGGTAGTCTTCGAGGATCGGGTTGGTGAGGTCATCGTTGGTATTCTTGACCCCTCTGAACTCGTCAGTGCGATGAGCGCCTGAATAGACGGTATTGAAGAGGTCATCGTTGTCTTTTTTTTTGCGCCCGAACGAGATATTGCGCTGTGAGATTGAAAGGATCGAGGTTAAGGGTATCCATTGGGTGTGTGGGCGCGCGGCGAGGGCTATTCAATGTTAGTCGTCATGGTGTTGTACCGCCCGGAAGAACGACTAGCGCTCCGATAGGTGCGGAGAAAATGGTGCAGGGGATCGATGTTCCCAGTGATAGCTTACCTGACTGCCCCAGCCGCCGTGAGGGTATCCGGGCGCTCATAGCGATGCTCGACACCACGGCGCTGCGGCGTTGATGATGCCAATGCTGTGAAGTGTCGCGGGAAATTCTGTGGCACGGCGAAAGGCTCCGCGCTGGCGCAGGGCGCTTGCAGGGGGCTGGCTTGGCAGCGGGATCATCATTGAACCAGAGCGATCAGAACGCAGAAGAAATGTGCAGGAGTCGTGTCGTCCCGCTCCTGTCCAGACCACCGTCGACCCTAGACTCTTGACCCCGTTGCCTGACGCGCATTCTGTGACGCGCCAAACATCGTGCTGTACCGCCGCCAACTCACTCCGGGAGTCCGCATCCAGCTGCTCCGAGTCGCGACGTGCTCGCTCCATCATTACTCGATTAGTCGCAGGCCCAAGCTTGCCTGGTGCACCTAACCACCTTTTCTTCTAGACCGGGTGTAGGCCTTCTCACCCACGACGCCGACGAGGTCATCGCCCATCACACTCGCTATCCCCATCGCCTCGCGCCTCCAACGGTCCTTTTCGCGCCAAACGCCCGCCGTCGTCCCATGCCGCTCGTTACGAGGGACTCGATGCCTAGTAGTTTCTGCAGCTCGCGACCATAGGAAGAGAGAGCATCGACAGACGTCTGGCGCGCGTATAGCATTCAAGACAGCTGCCGGATCGCAGTGCGTGCCAAACGAGAGCATAGGGTCGTGAACGCTGTACACCATGGATATCAACTCGCTATTATCGCCGTCGGACTCGCCTGCGGGCACCCCAACACCACAAGCCGCCCCTACCATCCCGTCGCCGTCACTACTCCGATCCCCGGGCAAGCGCACAAGACGCCAGATGCCATCGCGAACACCTTCGGGTCTAAGCCAACAGATCAGGTCCTCCCCGCAGCCGCCCCAGACGCTCCAACAGCGTGTGCCGTCCCCGGGATACGCCCACATCGCGAACGGCGCAAGAGGAGTACACAGCGCAATGGGAACGCCACAACAAATAGCATCGCCGCATGACGCGCGCATGACGACCCCAAACCCCATGTACCGCCAAACATCCACACCGGGCATGGACACTCTTGCAGGTACGTGCCCGCTTTCTTTGGGTAGTGGCACAGTGTTGTAGACGGCCCCCATATGAGGGAGCCGCAGCTCAGATGCAGGGAGGAAAGAGCTACGACAAACGACGATGGGTCGCTAGCTCGCAGGGAATCTGCTAACAATTTTCAGACCTTGCCAGCATGCAGCAACAACAAGCTGCGCGCCAGAACTCTGTAGTCCACCAACGGCCTGTCACGTAAGTTCTTCATCTTTGCTGATTTTTCTCGTCCGCCCCATTTCTGAGCCGACGACTGCACCTGCATCTCCACAAGTAGCGCGCTTTGTGTTTTGTGGGGCAGGCAGTGACGTCCGGGTGTCGCGCTTGCCCGTGATCACGGGTTGCTGTAGCCTGTTCCGGCAGCCTAGTTTTGTCGCGCAAACTCCACCACCAAACACTGACCACTTGCCAGACTGCAACACCTCGGACAAAACCTCTCCGGCGAGTCCGTAGCTAGCATAATGTCAGAGGCCTCACCGCGACCGCGCAATTTCATCACTCGCTCTCTCGACCAACAGCACATCGACTGGCTCAACCAACTCGATAAAACGCTGCTGGAAAACCCATTCGACTACTACAGCCATGTTTCGCTCGTCACCATTCTACACCAAGGGCTCCAAAAACACCTCGCTTCTTTCGACCTTGACCCAAATGCGTACGACCCAAACGCGTACGAATTGGTCCAGACTCTGCGCGATGCCTACAAAACCATGTCAGACAAGTACCCGCTTGGCGAGCTCTTGTGGCATTACCGGCTGAACGACGAGAAGACTCTGGCCAAGGATGTGGAGCAGCGCATGGGTGTGCTCGAACTGCACAAGCAGGCAACACAAGAGGAACCTTACAGCGCAAAGCTTTGGGCTGCATACGGCGAATATGTGAGCTACCTGGTCGCCTGCTCTTGGGAGCAAGTACCCCCAGAGGAGTGGTCTGAAGAGGAGAGGCTTATTGGTCGAGAGCTCTTCCAACCCCAACTGCTACTGGACGCACTGCAAGAAGGTGCTGAGAGAGTCAAGTACAACCTTCAAGAGAGCAATCTCGTCTGGGACCGCTACCTGCAGGTTTTGGAAGAAGACCTCGAGCGAGGAGGCTTCAGCCAAGAGAAGGCGAAGAGGGTAGCCGCCATCTACAACGACCGCCTCGGCCAACCACATGCAACATGGGCGAACACCCTTAGCAGATACTCTTCTTTCAATTCTCGCTACAATCAAAGCCACTACGAGCAGGTTATGGATGAAGTGGTGCAAAAGAATACACACATCAAGCAGCAATACGCCAACCGCGAAGAGTACGAGTTCAAACTCCTGCAGGCTATCCAAGCAGGCGACCAGGCTGCAGAGTACACCGCCATGACACGTTACCTGAAATGGGAGAAGAGGACTATGGGTGTCTACAGCTTCCATCTCGTCAACGCACTTTATGAGCGAGCCACGCTCCGATTTCCCGTTGATCCTTCCATATGGGAAGACCACGTTGAGTTTCTCGTTTGGCAAGATAACCGGTCGGTAGATTTACTCAACGTTCTCGAGCGCGCGACACGCCATTGCCCATGGTCCGGGTCACTCTGGTCCCACCGGTTATTGACACTCGAAGCGGAAAACAAGCCATTCGAAGACCTTGAACTTGTCAAGCACACAGCCACTGGGTCTGGACTTCTGGAGCACACTGATTTGGATGAACTCATCAAGGTTCAGCTCGCCTGGTGTGGATATCTTCGGCGAAGGGCTTTCGATGACCCCAGAGCAACGGAGGATGATGTTGATGTTGCCGAGGTCGGAATTCGATCGGCTTTGGAGTTTGTCCGAGAGGTCGGCATGAAGAAGCATGGCCGAGAATGGACGGACCGGAAGTACCGTCTTGAGCGCGCCCACATCAAGTTCTGGCTCCAACGCGGTGACATCGATCAAGCCCGGCAGATTCAGGACTCTATCACCAAGTACCAGGAGGACTCTTACGACTTCTGGTATCGCTGCTACATATTCGAGATGCTCCTGTGGGCGCCACACGCAACGAGGGGCAAGCAAAATGCAGGTCAACCGTTATTGCCGCCTACTCAGGCCACTGCCATTTTGGAACGTGGCATGAAGCGCTTACAAACAATTGATCAACCAGAGCTGCTCATCGACATGTACATTAGCCATTGCGAGCAGCACGAATCGGCGTTAAAGGTACGCAGCGCGACGATTGAGCGACGACGAGCTGAGCGCATCGTGTCCGTCCGGAGGGAGAAAGAGCGAGCACTTGCGGCCGCTGCAGCTCCGCCACAAGACACGCCAGATAGCCAAGTCGGAGACAGCTCGACGAAGCGGAAACGAGAGGACGGTGACGAGGATGCAGTATTGAAGAAGAGCAAGCATGTAGAGATCTCAGAGGCTCTTGACGGGGTCAACGGTCAAGCCAGAGTCGCGAGCGAAGCACCCTCGGAAGCTCGCTCTACAGGACCGAAACGAGATCGCGAGCACACTACAGTCATCGTGAAGAAGCTACCACTCAACACTACACAGACTCGAATACGCCAGTTCTTTACCGACGCAGGCACAGTCCGCAATCTAGTACTGAAAGAGGAGAAGGAAAGTCTCACGGCTGTGGTGGAGTTTGAGTCACCCGAAGAAGCCCAATATGCTCTGAGCAAAGAGGCGAAAGGATTCGAAGGTCACAACATATCGATCGAGCGAGGCCAAGGCACGACACTATACGTCGCAAACTACCCTGCGCATGCCGACGAAGCCTGGATCCGGGACCTCTATAGCCCATTCGGAGAAATTATCGGCATTCGCTTCCCTTCACTCAAGTACGATGCGCATCGCCGATTCTGCTACGTTCAGTTTGCTTCAGCTGAACAAGCGGTCGCTGCGACACAGCTGAACGACACTGACATTGAAGGGTTGAAGCTAATCTCAAAGATCTCCGACCCCAAGGCCAAGAAGAAACGCGATGGCGCTACCTCCGAGGGTCGCGAAGTCTACATCTGGCATCTCAACTTCAAGGTTAAAGAACGAGAAGTTAGGGACGTCTTCTCCAAGTTCGGCAAGATTGAGAGCACCAAGTGCCCAACTATCAGGTCGACTGGCAACAACCGCGGTTACTGTTATGTCGTTTACGATAACAAGGATAGCGCTGAAGCTGCAGTGGCAGAAATGCATGACAAAGAGTTTGCCGGCATGAAGATTAATGTCGAGATTGCAAAAGAGCGACCTGACACGAAGCCAAAGGTGCAATCAACCCTCGATAACACGGATAACCCAGCCGTTCGCGAAGGTACTCCTGGACAGAGCAACGCTGCCCCTGAAACCGCTATCAAGCCCGCATCCTTTATGGACCGATCCATTGCAATCCTCAACCTGCCTGACACTGTGCCTGACGTGCGCATCAAACCGCTTGTCGAACAGTACGGCTTCAAGAGGATCAAGCTCGAACCCCATCATGGTGGTGCGATCATTGAGTTCACAACCGTGGAAGGTGCTGGCAAGGCTCAGTTTGCGCTTGAGGGCAAAGATTTCGAGGGAAGGAAACTGCGCATCGGTACAGTCCAGGACCTCAACAAGCAGAAGGGAGAGTGGAAGGCGAGCAACAGCTTCATCCAGCCAAACCGTGTCAACCGACCTACTGCTGCTCGCGGTGGACGAGGACGAGGAAAGCCCGGTCTTGGTCGCCCAGCTATACCGAAAGGTGCTACAACGACGAACGGCGAGCCGAAGAGCAACGCAGACTTCCGCGCACAGTTCTTGAAGGAGCCTGCGAAGGAGGCAAACAAGGACAACGACAAAATGGAAGAGTAATGGCAGAGGATTGGAGTACGGTCGCATGTCAAGGCCCGTGTAGGGCCTGACTGGTGTTTATCAAGGCGTGGGTTTCAACGGCCGCTTACGGTTCAACTGCATACTTTGGCGTTTGAGGATTGGTTTCCCATGGATCGGAGCCGGTATGGTTGGCTTTCGATGTCCTCTTTCCTCTTGGTCTGGTGCTGAGCACTGTGTATGTAGTATAATATAATGAGTGTAAACTATGTCCCAGTCTGATCTGATTCACTGTGATAATGACATTTTTATAAAATTGCAATGCCCTTACATCGGACTTTCTGATCTTGCCTACATTTACGCACAGAGCCTGATCGGTGGCCTATACACCCGACAGCTAATCAACCTAGCTTAGCTAATATGCTGTCGGGCAAGATGTGTGACACCAACGAACAAAGTGCACGTATGCGTAGCGCGGGACGCGGTCGCTTGGGCTGTGATCACGATCACAAATTCAAAAGCATAGTAGTCAGGTATATCTGTCGCGACCAATAAGTCAAGCGGAGCCTCTTGGAATCAAGAGCAAATCACAATGGAGAGGAAGTTGTGTCATGGTCGCGTCAAGGTGACATCAATTCGACTAAATTCTCCAAAAAGCTTCATGCTGAGTCTGGTAAAGAAATGATAATAAGTAGAAAGAAATGACACGCTTTTCTTGCCTCCCTTACTATGCAAGTTCCGCTGACGTCCTGTTGGACTCAACCTAGGTATGAATGAAAGATATTTTCTCGTCGTCAAGAGCTCGTTGGAGCCTGACGATCATCGTAGTCTGTTGGCCTCTTGTGCTGTACCAGTCGCGAATGAATCAAACTTTTCGTGGCCAGCAATTGCCGGGATCAAGCAGGCGAAAAAAAATCAATGAAGTACGCAATACCCAGCCGCCAGGAATCAAATGGTGATTCGGATTGCAGCTTGGGAAACGCCCGCTGTACACAATAGCCACTTTTGTTGCCCTCAGGCCCTTTGGTTCGCAAGCACTCGCCTCTCCTTCCATGGCTACTCGTTGACAAACTCCTTGTCTCCCGCTGTGTAGAGAAATCGCGGCGTATTAGGCGCCCATACCGAGTAGTACAATGATCCCCACATGTAGAGGTTTCCCTTGCATCTGAAGTCGATATAAAAGTCGTGCATGCGATCTAAGCCACATGCACGAATCATGTTGATCATGTAATCCTGTCTTTCATCGTCGTTGAGCCCGTTGAAGGTGTCGTCCTTGAGTGTGATGATAATGGAATGTCCTGGAGGGAAAAGGCTGCTAACATCCCTATCCGTGGTCAACGCAGCCGAAACCATGTCGTGCTGGATATGTTCATGATCACTCCCCAGCCAACGTCGAGTCATGATCGGAACAACTTTGTTGGTGTCTCTGAAGGAAATGGTGCCGTGTGAATTGGGGGGGACGCGGAGGTAAGGAATTGCGTCAGCGTCGTGGTGCATGCTGAGGTCTTTCAAGACCGGCAGGACGTCTAAGCCCGCAGCTGGCCATGGCTGGTTGATGATGGCTACCATCCTGTTACCGAGCGCCTTGACTTCATCTGTTCCGCTAAGGTGGGCAAGATAGTGCGGCAGAAGCTCTGCTGGTATGTTGACTTTGATGGCCGTTGTGTGCATTGGGCGGAACTCGAAGCGCAGCTGATGACAGACTTGGGTCAAGCCCCAATAGGGACGTAAACGATGGGCATTTCTCCACTGGTCATTCGTCTTGAAGCGCTTGCGGGACTTGATGGAGCGGTACTTGAGCTTGAGCTCTTGTCCGCGGCGGTGTTGGATGGCGTCGGCGATCACGTAGTCGTAGATCTTGTTGCGGATCTCTGTTGAGGCATCAGTAACTGTCTTGCGCTTCTTAGAACTCCAACATACCCCCGGGTACGTCTAGCAGCCCAACGCCCACTTTGACCTTGCATGCCCGAGCGAGATGTGTGCGTGACGGGGCGGTGAGGTGTTCGTTGCTGTCTCTCTTACGTTTGGGCCTGTTGCGTAGTTAGTGTTGAAGTACTTGCATGAGTGGTGGATATTTACGCCATTTGTTCTAGGGGTTTGGGAATGTTGGAGGTATGGTGATGGATGATGAAGCAATCGCGGCTTTATATACCTCGACTTCTCCACGCCAGGACGCTAATTGCTAGTCCGGTAAGCACGTGTCGATAACGAGGGTAAAGGTAGAAGCGACAATGCAGGCAATGTTACAAGTGAGAGAAGCTTCACATGCTATGATTTTCAGAAAGATGTTTGTCGAAATGGATACCCGGTCATCGGTCCCCACTTGGTTATATCGACTGGACTGGCCTGGAGCCGTTCCAAAGACAGGCGGATATGTGCCTTCGAGAGTTGAGATACCGGTGCCATCTTCAGCGTAACCGGTACGGTTGAGAAATGTATCTAGTCATGTTACTTTCGAATTGATGAAATAGAAAATCGCACCCAGCTGCGCTGCGATGGTATTGAGTTGAGTAGGCGTTGATGAATGTGAACGCGAAAGTAGCGGTGGTGCATTCGGTGACCGTAGGTGAGTCTCTCATTCACCGAGTACCGTGATATCGCCACTGGCCAATGACAGACCAGCGTGATGATGAGGGTCAACGAAGCCACTTTCTTGTGAGTTAGAAGCACCTGCTGTAGTATCGAAGACGGCGATGAACTCATCCACCATATCGACCATTGTACGATGTCCTCGGGCCACGTCCAGACGTCGAACTGGATGCTCTGCCCCCGAGTGCGAGCTGAAGCGCAGATGTTCGAGATTCCCACACTCCTTTAGAGCGTGTAATACTGACGACCAAGTGCCAGTCACAAGGCGAAGGTCGGAGAATACAGCTCGTCGCAATGTCGTAGACTGACTCCTAATAATAGCGACTAGGTCGTTTCCATGCAATGCGCAGAACATGAGCTGGAGTACTTCTAGCTTAAGGCAAGTGCAAGAAGCAACCATGTGGTGAACGATGGCTGCGGCATAGTTAGTCCGATCTAGACTCATCGTGAAGCTTTTCAACTTTGGTGCAGTGGCAACGATATTTCCGACCCCATTCTGCCAACCAGGTGTGCGAGAGAGGTCATCGTTTCTAGACAAAGCAGAGAGAGTGAGAACTTTGAGGTGCGAAAAGCGATAGTGTAGTGTCCTCAGAGATTGCGTAGGTATTTGGAGTGCCGAGAATGGTAGGATGGCCTCCCTGTGTAATGCAGTCCCACGCTTGCATTTGGCCATACGAAACTCGCTCAGACGGACCTCGCTGTCAGATATGGCGTCTATGACGACCTGAAAGCATTTACTACGAAATAGGCAATCGGCTGCGGAAAGAAGACTGCTGGATTCCGCGAGCTGGGATCCCCTCGGATGGAAGTGAATGGCCGTCAAGTTGGTGAAGCCTCGCAATGCTCGAACAAGGCCATCGTACAAGCGGGTTGGATACTCGCTTTCCACGACATATGTGAATGTGGGTGCTTCGTCCTTGATATCTTTGTCTTGGATTCCAGGTACCCTGGGAAATCGTTTGGGTGGCGGAAACCTGCCGACACGGCTAATGGCAGTGAGGACACTATACTCCGCTGATGTCAGGAGCTGGATCTGTAGGACTTTGACAGAACCACGGAAATGAGGCGACTGCGCTACGTTGACGAGACGGTTGAGAGAGGGTGGTCCAAGAGTAGTCTTTAGCCGGGAGAAAGCGCGTTCTATAAATACAGAATGGGTGAGGAAGCGACATCTCTTGGATGCAAGACGAAGGCTTTTGTGAGACGAGAGATGAAGAGTGGCAGCAACGAGCTCGAACAGCTCGACAGGAAGGCGTTCTAGGTGCGAAGTCATGATGGCATGCTGACTGGAAGCTGGGCTGTGAATCAAGGATGTTGACGGGGACGGGTGAAGGGTGGCACATGCTGTCAGGACCTAGCCCGGAGCTAAGAGCCCGTGATAGCGTCAACCCCGCGAGTCCAGGAGCAGCGCACGACCTCAACCCAGCGAGCGACGAGAAGCCACGCTTCTTCCGAGTGAACAGCACTGTCGTTCACCTTATCGGCATCATCTAACTTTTTTCTTCCACCACGCTCCCCATCACGGTTGCATCGCCCGCCGGTGCCGAACACCGGCCACAACGCAGTGGAGCCCGACAAAGATTTGACACGACCGCACCTGCCGCCAACAGCTCAGACAACCACCATGGACTCGATGCGCAGCCTCAACAAGTCACTGCCCAAGACAAGAGGGCAGCACGACGTGCACCAGTCCTTCCGCACCGCTGCCCTCAACGTGACGCATCTGTACAAGTCCGCGCTTGCCGACATCGACAGAGCCCGTACCGACGGCTACCAGGAGGCTCTCGATGAGCTGCTCACCTTCCTCGACAAGGAGAACATTGGTGTGGGCGACGGGGAGGGCTGGCGAATACGGCAGTGGGCCACAGAACGACTAGACGGAAGCTTGCCCAAACAGACAAGCAGCGACAGCGACGACGAATACCTCGACAACAACCGCGCCAGAAGCTCATCACCCATCATGGACCGAACCCACGGCATGGATGACTCACGCACGTTGGTACCCACGACGGTCACGGAAACACGCTCTGACTCTGCGCCACCCCTCCAGATGGAAGCTTCTACGACCGAGGCGGACATGTCGCCGCTGCATCACATCTTCGAGTTCTCTGCCGCACAAGCTCTACCCTCTGATTCACCAAACGACACCGCCGCCGCCGACATGTCAGCTGCTGCCCGCCGCGCTTTCCCTGCTTCTCGCCGCCCCACGAACCGCTCGTCTACCCGAAACCTCCAGCGATCCGCCGCCCAGAATCTCTTCCAACTAGGCAACGGTGCAGGGCAGAAGAGACGACTCATGAACGACTTCTTCAATGTCGATGGCTTCAACGACCGGCGAGACGGCTCATCAGGCGGAGGATCCAAGCGCGGACGCATGTCATAGCACCGCAGCTCCAAGCCTGAGGACATGTCATCGAACTCCAGGCAATGACACGAACGACTGTTCGACGAATCACGACTACTTGCATCATACCCAGACGGCGCACAGGGCTAGTGGATCATATTTCATACGCATTGGGGGAGGCTTACTAGACGCATTCTGTGGTGTTATTGATTTCGGAGGCTATATACCTTTTCGCATTTTCTACGGGGTGGGACATCATTCGGGGGTGGAAGTAGATAGCGTTTTTTTTTGGAGGGTGTTAATACCATCATTACATGTCCTCAACTGTTGTATGCCATATGCAGTGACTCATCTCGTTCGTGAAGATGTGACTCCCAAACGCCGATGCATGCCCAAGTTTTTACTCAAGTCTTTCCGCCTACAATACCTAGGTATACGTTCCAGGCTTGTGACCTTCAAGCGTCTCCTTGTATCCCTCCCATTATGCAAACCACCGATATAACCCCAGGCCCACCATGACGGCGCTTGTTCCTGTTATTGCCATTCCCCTACTTCGCATTCCGAACATGCTTTTGCTGGCTCGTATCGCGGCTTCGTTGGCTTTGATCTGTGAATGGCCCGAGACGTACGTGAAGGCGCCGAGGCCCAGGAATGTAGCGCTCCCTAACAACCATGTCAGTACTGAGGTAGATACAGTGTGTTCTAGAGTACAATACCGACTACGCGACATGGAGTGCAATCTTCAAATTCCGCTCTGTCATTCTTGAGAGCCTCTTTGAAGGTCGGCGCGGAAGGAGGTGGCAGTGCCATTATCGCGACGCTAGACAGACAGCACCGCGACTAACTCAGATGCAACACGCTGGCTCTATCGTGCAAAGATCTTGCGACCAGAAGTCTGCATCACATGCTAGGCATGCAGGGATGTTTCTAGCTCCGGCAGCTCCCCGCCCAAACTGCCCCACGACGCGGACCTCACGTCTTCCCACGCGCATGGCTCGCAGCTGACATTTCCCACCATGAGCGCAATCGAAGCTCTCTACATCTTTGATGAGCACAAGTAAGACGCGTCTATTCCAGCGATTACGTCATCCGTCTCTAACATGTACAGCACTCCACTGCTCGAGCACACATACCTCAACCGCCCGCCTCCATCCTCCGTCCTCCTGCCTCTCTATCTCGCGCATCCCGCCCCCCGGCCGCCGCTGATATATCTGCCCAACACCAACCCGCCGACACTGCTATACAGCATAATACAAGACCAGCTTCTGTTCCTGTGCCCGGCATCGGCAGACACCGATCCCCTCGCCGTCCTCACCTTCCTCCACCGCCTGACCGACGTACTCGAGGACTTCCTAGGGTCACCACTGCTAGCGAGCAAGATCGAGGGAAACTACGATGTCGTCGCGCAACTACTCAGCGAGATGGTGGATGGCGGAATCATCGCGAACACAGAACCGAACGCGCTAAGAGATGTCGTCGAAGCGCCGAATCTACTCAAGAGCCTACTGGGAGGAGTGGGACTGCCTTCTTCGACACCGAGCTCGCTCGCACCTTCTGCTACCGGAGCATTTGGTCTAGGTGGTGGAAGAGCAAGCCCACGACTGGGACCATCACCAACCTCAAGTCAGACAGGCTCACCGGTGCCGTGGAGAAGAGCGAACGTTAGACATACGAGCAACGAGATGTATGTGGATATCGTGGAAACACTAGAGGTCACCTTGTCACCATCTGGGCGCCCTCTAGCCGCCATGGCGAATGGCACCATCGCCTTCACAGCCAAGGTCTCTGGAATCCCAGATCTCATACTACACTTGGGATGCGCAGGTGGCATACAGAACGCGGTCTCGTTACCTGTCTTTCATCCTTGTGTCAGACTCAACCAGTGGAAAGCGAGGCTAGGTGAACTTTCCTTCGTACCGCCAGATGGTCGCTTCGTGCTCGCTGGGTACGAAGTCGACTTGCTGGGCTCTGCAGCACTAGATGCCTTCTCCACAGAGAAGAACGCAAAGACTTCAAGCCCAAAGCTAAACATACCAGCTACAGTGTCCGTCCACCCCTCCCTCGGCCCGACCGGCACAGACTTCGAAGTCAAACTCCAACTCAACCCACGCTTCAGCGGAAACAAGCCCTCCCAACCCAGCGCTGCGAAAGCTAGCCTGGGACGCGTATCCTCCTCCACAGGAACCACATCCGCCCCCGCGATCGAAGAGATGACTATCCACATCCCGCTTCCGGCGTCTGTCAGAAACGTCGCGGATCTACGCGTCGCGCGTGGAACAGGAGATGCAGGCTACGCGCCTGGCGACAGGGCAATAGAATGGCGGATCAGCAGTCGTGAGATAAGCAACCTCATGTCACAAGACCGCGGAGGAGGGGTCGGTGCGACGGCTACACTGCGTGGGACTGTTATCGGCCAGGATGATCCATCTGCGGAGGACGCGTTGGACGCTGGTGGACCTGTATCGTTCGCAACGTCGACATACGATTACGATGATGATCAAGGCACACAGGTCTCCTTACCTGCAGCTTCATCGTCCAGCGTGCCCAAGCCGGACAGCGACGCGAAGATTAAGCAGGCAAACAAAGTCCTCATGCCGAGCTGCGCAACCATCAGCTTCTCCGTAAAGGGCTGGCTGCCGAGTGGAATCAAGGTGGAGAGTCTAAATGTAGATCAAAAGAAGAGCAAGGGTTTGGGCAGTGGTGTCACGCCGTACAAGGGCGTTAAGTATCTTTGTGTCAGTCGGAAGGGTGTAGAATGTAGATGTTAGAACATACACTCGGCTACGACGATGGAATCAAAGAGACAAAGAACTTCCGATGAGATATCCGCACGAGTTTGCTGCAGAATGTGCATCACATATAAAGATGTGTTTGTGTCCATCGATGACATTACCAACTATAACTACCTGACATTCGTTGATGGCGCTGAAAATACACCCAGACATCTTATACTGTCTTATCAATCAATCAAGCTCTCGCTCTATATACTCCTTTTTCGTTGTGATGCAAAGCACTACACATCAGGCATTACTCTCGCTCGCTTGAACGCATTGGAATGCGCTCGCGTCGTTGAAGTCGTCAATCATCGATCTTTTTCCACGGTGTACTCCATCCCTCCCTCCCGTACACCGCGTCATGTCACTAGGCGGACCTAGTGAAGAGTGGTGAACAGTGCGTCACCAGGAGCTGGTACAGCGGGCTTGTTGCCAGGCGCTGGCGAAACAGGCTTGTTGCTCGGTGCGCGCTGTCCACGGTTCCCACCCTTGCCGCCGCTGCGATCGTTGCTTCCACCTCGAGCGCTACCCTCGGGCGAGTTCCAGGTCTTGCGTGGACGACCTCCAATTCGCTTCTCGATCTTCTCCACCTTCTCCTTCAGGGACTGGTGTTTGGCCATCAGCTTCTCCAGGTCAGCCGCTCCCTTGGCGTTGCCAACCTTCTTCTGGTTGACAAGGTTGTGGACCATGCAGTCAAACACCGGGTCGTTCTCCGGGTACGCCAACTGGCAGAGAAGGTCCATGAACTCGAAGGACACGTCCTGGGCACGGATCCGGTCGCAGAACTGCTTGGTGAACTGGGCGACGTAGGTGTTGTTCAAGCCCAGGACACGAGCAGCGCGGCAGATGTGCAAGTTCTTCTTGTCATATACCGTCTCAGTCTGGAGGCGGACAGAGTAGACCCTGCTCTGATAGGTCATCTCGTCCATCCACTTCAGATGTGCGGTCGCAGCATCAGCGTCCATCGAACCGGCGGGCAAAACCCAAGAAGTCGCGTCAGGGTTCGCGGTAAAGTACTTGTAAGCCTTGCCTGAGCACTGCATCAGGACGTACTTGGGAATACTGGCCAGCTTAACCTCTCCAAGCTTGACGATGACTTCAGGGCCGTTACCGAAGACGACGCGCTGCCCGTGCGACATGTGACGGATGTCAGCCGCAGGATTGAGTTCTGGCATAGGACCGGTCTTGTCACGCGCCTGCCTAGACGAGTGGCCCCAGGGTGTGGTATGTCCGTTCAGCTCGGCAACGGGCGACGATGTGGGTACAATCTTTGCAGCAGCAGACGCGGCTGGCTTCTTCCCGTACTTGGACATGTCGATGCCAAAGGTCAGGGTCTTGGGCTTCGGAGCCGGAGGAACGACCTTCAGCGTGTCTTTCGTCACGAAGTTGGGGAATGAGGATGTGACGAGCGGCGGGCCGCTGGTGTTCTTTGCCGTTTCGGTCCCCTCGGACTGCTTAGTGTCGACGGTCGCAGGCTTCTCTTTCTTGACCTCCTCAATCATGGGAGCATCGACGATTTCAAAACTATCCGAATCAGAAGCCACAGATGCGGTCTTCTCGGCTTTGGTCACGGTCTCGGCAACGACATCAGTGCCATTAGACTTTGTGGACTCAGAGACTCCGTTCTTAGGTGCATCCTCGGTGGTCACCTCGTCATTTGTGGGCACCGGAACCAGTGAGGCCGACTCCTGCTCGAGGCTGCTAATGGCGGCAGCCTTCTTTGCTCGCTCAAGGTTGTTGATGGCCGAAGCCTTCTCTTCAAGCTTAGCCCTCAGATCCTTCATCTGGCTGTCCTTCTCTTCTGCCTCGCGCAGAAGCTCCTGGTTGTGAGCGAGCTGGTCGCTATTCACCTTCTTAAGCTTCTCGATTTCCACATCCTTCTTTTGGACCTCCGTCTCAAGATCGCTAATGTGTACGTCCTTGTCTTGGACCGCACCTTCCAGCTCAGCGATACGAAGCGTCTTCGTTTCGACCAGTGCGTCCAACTCTTTGACACGCTCCTCTTTCAGGGCAACGGTGGTCTCGAGGGTAGCAATCTTCGGATCCTGGCTCATGAACTCGGCGATGAAGGTGTTATCATCATCGTCCTCGTCGGCCCAGTTGGTCTTCTTGCCAATGGCAGCCTTTGGGTAAAGACCGTTCGATGCGCCGTTGGTAGTCTGGCCGTTCGTCATTCCCTTCAGTACCAGACCCTTCTTCTGTTGGGAATCCGGTTTCGACTTGGGCGGCGCCTCTGCGATCTTGGGGTTCGGGGAGTCGGCGGACTTGATCTTGCTGCCGCCAGCAGCCCAGAAGGAAGGAGCAGTCGCCATCTTATGAGATCGCTTGACGAGTGGGGTAGGAGTCGGGAGTTGGGTCGCTGTTCGTGAGGTGTGGGAGGTGGAGGTGAGGGCGAAGCTCGCTTGATAGACACAGATCGCCTAAGGAAGGCTCAAGTAGCGCAAGGTCGACAGAAGATTTTGGCGGTCGGAGCTTCGGAACACAAGAGCTGTAGCTGCGCAGTTGAGGAGCGAGTGTGGAGAGAGTGAGAAGAAAGGTGAGGGCGGGCGGATTATGTACTGGGGAGGAAGCGGCTAGCAAAATTGAGAGGTGCGTGTGAAGGCGGAGGTGTGCGAAGCGAGTCAAAGCTTTCCGTGGTGTTGAGGGTCGAGTGAAGACAACCTTGGAAGGAAAGAGCGCCACACGAGGCAAAATTCGACAGAAAGCAGGCGCAGTCGAGCTGTCAAAAGCTGAACTAAGTTTCACCGCACATGCAGACAAGCATTGTACCGCTTCCAAAGCATGGTAGCGATGCGTTTACGTGCGCTGATATTTGAGATGACCAACCTCTGATAGGACGAGACCACGGATAGACGAGTCTGCCATGTGCCTATCCGCTCCAAGGAAGTAACCCTCATTCAATCCCAAGATAATCGCTACTGCGAGCCAATATGCTCACTCATACTCACAGAGTGAATGAGCGATGGCACATTCACGCCTCCCGGTATGCACTCAGCCATGATGCCTAAACGACACTGTTTCCCTTGCACTCCAAGTCTAGAGTTGACGGAAGTTGATCTTCACTATCCATCTCTTTTCAGAGCACTCATTGTTTCCATTCACGTTCCTGTTTCTGTGGAATCATCTTCCCTTTCATTCGGCATTGTAGCGCGCTCACTGGGTGGGTGTGGTGGAAAAGCCGGTATCGCTCGGGGCGTGGTCCACAGAAGACGAGTCTTCACTGTAACGCGTGCCAGAAAGTGTTCCTCGCGAGATGTTATCAGGGGAATCGAAGTAGTAATCTTAAAGTCTCTTCATGATGGTGTTCACTCATTGTAGAAGCTATGAGGCGCGAAGCGATGGGGCGGAAGACGCGTCGACGCGACAGCCCTGCGATCCCCGCAGCCGAAGTCCGAACTCGTCAGCCAATGGGAGCTCAAGGAAGTCTACATACACCTACATCGCTCCTGCATCGATGGCAACTGTTTCTATAAGATTACACCATGTCTCGTCTCGTTTCTCAAGCCTTGCACCGCTGCAACTCTCTCCGAGGCCATCCTGAAGGTCAAACCAGTCCGCCACCATGACGACTCAAGCCCGCAACCTCTTCCACCACCTACCTCCGCCAGCGGAATGCCTCGCGCTCTTCATCGCAACCCTCGAGATCGTCCCTTTCGGAATAATAGGTCTACGAAACCCATCCTTCTTCGCTGATGGCTACGGTCTGCCCATCTCGGCCGAGTCCGACACATCACCCGCAACTGCGAAACGATCCAGCAATACCGAAAGCACCTACGACGAGGATCAGAAGACCAAGAAAGCCCTGGTTGCAGCGATAGCAGCGCGCAACGTTCAGAACGGTGTTCTCTTAGCTGTCTTCGGTCTGGTACTGCGAGACAGGAGGAGCTTGGGAGTTGCGGTTATGGCGGGCTTAGTCGCAACCGTCGCGGACACGGTGATTGTCAGCGCGTATGGAGCGAAGGACAAGATCGCGGGTCACTACGTTGGCATCTTCAACAGCTTGGCGATTGGGGGGAGTTTGCTATACTGGGGAAGGAACGACCCGCTGTGGTGAAAGTGCGGTCGAAGGTGCACAGGGGATGGGAAGAGAGAATCAGGCACGATGACCCGGCGGCATGAAGCGAGGTGTAGACATGAATCGCGGGGGTTTGCCTAGCGTCCAAGACAAGCAGCCATCGTTTAGGCAGCAGTCATTATCCTTCTCCCTTCTCCCTTTCATTCTTCTTGCCTCCTTTTGTACTGACTCCCGCCATGGCATGTGAGCACAACATTCTACAACTAAACCCCTCGCCCTTCGCAGAATTAGCTGGATATGAACAGCCAGATGCCGCAGCACGCGCAGGAGCAGAAACGACATCTGGAAGAGCGCCGAAGAGTGTCAAGGATCATCCGATCGGAACATTTCCCGCTCCTCTAGTCCTACCTCACGACGAGCTCAACTATGATCCAGATTCTTCGCCGCAGAGTATGAAGAAATGGCTGAACGAGGAGTGTAGGAACAAGCTTTCATCGGCGCCAAGAAGGAACAAGTTGTATGTGGTGCAAGTGCCTGGGATCAGTTTCAAAGTGGATTTTTTGAGGCACTGGGTAGTACCAACCAATTACGATGAAGTCAAAGGCGAGGCCGAAGCTGTATCCTCTCCTCCATCTACAGATCACTTCGTCGACTATCTTACCGCATTTTATCACGACATGCCAGTTCGCCTCTTCCCCACGCCATTGACCTGGACATCATGGGGCTCCAATACCAAATCCGCCAAGGGCTGTCGCAGCGCCGCTCTGCCGAAGTATGTTGGCCTATCGCATGGAGATCGGTGTACCAGAATCCGCGTCCGCCCTGCGCCAGACAATGCTTTCCCTGCTCAACTGAATCTAGACGACATCCTCGACACAGCAATCTCAATTCTGCCTGATGACGCTTATGCAATGGTGATTCTAGTCGACCACGACATCTACGAGTCTGACGATGACGACTTCTGTTGTGGCAGGGCTTATGGAGGCAGCAGAGTGGCAGTTGTGCAGACTGCACGATACAATCCGATTCTAGACGAACGAGAAGGAGAGGAGATTGACAGAAACCACACGTGGCCGTGGAGTCATTGCAAAACCTTTGTCGATGAACTATGTGCTGTAGAGGATGTAAAGGCAAAGCCTGCGACGAAGAAACAGAAAGAACTAAGCAAGAGTGGGGCGATGAAAGCGGCTACCCAGGCCGCGACAACATATAAGCCTCCATCATCGGGGCAAGAAGTACAGGCGCTTTGGTTCTCACGTCTCGCACGTACAGTGTCACATGAGCTAGGGCATTGTTTCGCGCTTGATCATTGTGTATACTATGCATGTAATATGCAGGGTACAGGTAGCATGAAGGAAGATGTAAGACAACCGCCATATCTGTGTCCAGCATGCGAAGCAAAGGTAGCACATGCCATTGCTGGAGAGCTGCACGGTGGCCGCGAAGACGAGAAAAGAGATTGGATCAAGCAGAGGTGCGAGGCTTTGAGGCACTTCTGCAAGAGGTTGGGAGATAAAAACATGGATAGTTCGATGTGGCAGGGCTTGGACGGGTGGCTGCAAGAAAGGATGGTAGCGATGTAATCTCGATGGCATCCCACGGATCTTTGCATCTGCGAGATACTCTCGATTATTCATATTACCGACATTCGGAGTGGACGTTTTGGTCATAGTGTGTGTCATTGGCAGTTGCTTCGATGACACGTAAAGCATCAGCCCACGGAATTGCAGCAGTAGACAACTAACTCTTCTTACTTGTTTGGCTTTGGCGCGACGCAGCTGTCTCAATGAAGTAATCCGTTCGCTGAAAACAGACAAGATCATCGTGTGAGTTCCCAAGGACGTGGTTCAGCAAACCTAGATCGCCCACTCAAATTAGAGCCACGGCTTACGGACAATCCGTACTTGAATCTAAACGAATGATGATTGCTGAAAGACATCCCGTCTGCATGATGAGACGAGACGCGTGTTGTGGTTCAGTGATGTGTTTTGACCCACGCGGGAAGTGTACCCCTCATTGCCCCACCATGTCCCAACACATGCACCTACAGTGAGCAATTTATCCATACATGACCTCAGTCGATAGTATGACAGGTAAAGTATAAGTATCCGGCTCTAGCCGTGGCCTCAAGCTGCGTCTTCAATTGCTCCTCAACGTTTTCCAATCGCACATATCCAGCTTTCACCAACCCAATACAACCCACTTTGGTACGATGCTATCATTGAACCAGCAAAGCGAAGCCTATTCGGCCTCGCTCTTCGCACACCAGAATTGTATCTCGGTCAAGTAACAGGTGCCCAGCATGGCATCATCAGGTACCCATCTCAACCATCAGAAGCAAAGCATGGCGGGTGTTCAAGTCATCAGCGACTCAGAAATCTTCTCGGGATCTGATCGTCGATGGCTTGTTCTGAGATCATACCGTTCAAACTTGATCTGGATAATTCCAGCGCGAAGGACTATTGCTGCTTCATGATGACCCCTTCCCCACTATGTTGGCGTACTGACTAGCTCAGCTTCTGCACCCAAGTCAAGATGTCGACTGATAAGATCACCTTCTTGACCAACTGGTGCGCTTTGCATCTTGACCGAGCGAGGTGTATGCTGACGGTGAACAGGCACGCTACGCCATACCACGCTCCCCTCTACCTTGCTCAGAGCAAGGGATACTTCAAGGATGAAGGCATCAAGGTCGCTCTTCTTGAGCCCAATGATCCTAGTGTATGGTCATCACTAGCTTTCGTACTTCATCAGCTTACCATCCCAGGATGTCACCGAGATCATCGGATCTGGCAAGGTTGATCTTGGCTTCAAGGCGATGATTCATACGCTCGCCGCCGCCGCTCGTGGCTTTCCGGTCCAGTCAGTTGGCTCACTCCTCAATGAGCCCTTCACTGGTGTCGTGTACTTGACATCGTCCGGCATCACTCCCGACTTCACCACGCTCAAGGGCAAGAAGATCGGCTACGTCGGCGAGTTTGGCAAGATCCAGCTCGACGAGCTCACGGCACACTACGGCATGTCGCCCGACGACTACCAGGCCGTCCGTGTTGGCATGAACGTGACCCGTTCCATCATCACTGGCGAAATCGACGCCGGCATCGGTCTCGAGAACGTCCAGATGGTCGAGCTTGAAGAGTGGCTCGTGAGCCAGAACCGCTCGCGCGACGAAGTGAAGATGCTGCGCATCGATGAGCTCGCTCAACTCGGCTGCTGCTGCTTCTGCAGCATCCTCTACATCGGCAACAACGCTTTCATCGAGCAGAACCCCGAGAAAGTCCGCGCCTTCCTTCGCGCATGCAAGCGCGCGACTGACTTCGTCCTCGCGTCTCCCGACCAAGCCTGGGACGAGTTCTGCAACTTCAAGTCGGCTATGAACACGCCCACCAACCGCAAGATCTTCGAGCGTAGCTTTGCTTACTTCAGTCCCGACCTTCAGAACGTCCAACGTGACTGGGAGAAGGTTACTCGCTACGGAAAGAGGCTCGGTGTGTTGGACGACAGTTTCAAGCCCAACTACACGAACGAGTACTTGGCTTGGGGTCTGGAGGAGGAAGCTGATGATCCTACTGGCGATCAGAAGAGAATGGTCGAGCTGCAGGAGGGTGTGAAGCAGCATGGCGGATTCAAGCGTCTCGAGACCATGTCTGGCAAGACGGTCGTTGGCGCTGCTGCCCCTGCCGTTTGATCCGTCTCTGGGCACTCGAATTTGGAGATGCATTCATTAGCTCCATCTCAACGCGTCGGAGATCTTCGGCAGCACCAGCTCGACATGAATCATGAAATTGTCACTCGCTCATCTTCACTGTCCATCTCACGTCGCTTCTGTGATGCCAGTGACGAACAGCATACGTAATTGACCAGGACTCGGGTTCATCATAACTAAGAGTTCTGATAGAATCGGTAGCCTGACGAGCGTCACCGGCTACCAAGTTGATGAGTGAATAGCCATGCACTGGTTCCAGGCTTCCACAGTCACGCCATATGATTCGCACATGTCTCGTGCAGAGCGCGCAGAAAGGTGCGCGGTGCTTACACTGTACGCAGATCATCTCGTTGCAGTCGATGCAGGTGCCTATATCGGCGCTAATATCTTTGACCCAAATAAAAGCGGTGCAGTCGATGTTTGCGCAATATGTCGGATTGGGTGTCGCGAGCTCCTCCGCCTTGAGGTCGAACTTCTTGACGTATCCTTGTGGAAGCATGGTACGACATACTTCCAGCGGAATTGGTATGTTGCAGCATTTAGAAGGAAAGGTCGAGACGTCTTCGAGGGTCCCGACGAAGAAGTTATGGAGACAGTTTCGACAACAGCCATGAGCCACAGGCTTGCATTCGAGTGTCAGGGTGTCTATGGTCGGTATATCATCGAGACACATCCCGCACAGAGTGAGGGGCTCTTCTGTGGTAGGTTCTGAGTCGTAGTCAGTCCCTTCTTCTTCGGTATCGCTTGTCTCAGTCGCTATAGTAAACCTTCTCATGCACGATCAACGCCTTTAGCTGAAGTACTCACAAGCCCGTATCTCATCCTAGACATGGGAGATAGTGATAAACTCGGAACGTGAGATGGATATGCCGGGCTCTGGGTGAGCGAACAAGCAACGTCTTGCGGACGCGGTGATACCTAGCCATGGGCGTTGATCGAAGGTCTCTTGAAGTGTCGCTACTGGGAACAATGACCATGCTGGTCACATGTCGAAACGGAGACCGGCTCTTGTTGTAGGCTTGATCCTTGCCTGCACGTATTGTGCGACAAATTTTTCGTGACATGACACGGCGAAGGACGAGTTGCGTCGTGAGTTTTGGCCGATGCGGCGCGCTGGCGATGACATCATCACCACTATCAGGTGCGTACCAGCCTGGCGGCCTCTCTCTCCTGGCGACACAACCCAACACCGCTCGTACATACGCGCCTTCATCTCACCAATGTTGGGTACTTCATCCTTCAGAATCAGTCACTTTACCGCGATCCTTCACGGCGTCCACTTGCAACCCCAGCAGCGATCATGCAGTTGGTGTTTCGTCTCGCCCCACCTCAACGTTTCAACGTGCCGCGCACAAAGCACATGAGCATGAGCGCGCATTTCTCCATGACTCCATCCGCATACGGCGTAAAAGTCGACTCAGGGTATTATCCTGTGGCTATTTAGCCGTCTTGTCATTCTCCGACGAACATGTTCATATCCACACTCGAGCCGGTGTTGATACCTCGACCCTGGGTTGGCAGACCCGCATTGTATCTTAAGCTGCAGATTCTTGAGATTGCAGAGGATGCCATCATTAGATTCTGCAGCCATACCCTATCGCACCATCATCTCCGAGGCAAGGCAGGTGCCAAAGCAAGTGCGATCAAGAAGTTGTTGCGATCCATCTTCTGCAAGCTCTGCTCCAGCCATCGCAATAAACAGTTGCAATGCGTTAACAGCCACACCAACGTGCAGTTTGCTGCGCGGGACAGTAACGCCAACACTTTACAGAGGATGCCTCAGAGCCCCTGCAATGTGAAGGATTCTCGCCTCGTCCAATGTCAAAACTGCACTAAGCTCTACTCGGCTCGAACTCCAGGCACAGTGCATCTCCACCAATCAGCGCTCCACATGTCAAACCTGTCAGTCGTCGTTTGACCCATGGACCTGGTTCTGGTTCCCAAGAGTTCTGTTCTTGGCCTAGGTATCCATCCTTCGTTCATCTATCCGAGTGTGGCTGCAGACACATAGCGCCCCGGCGTCAGGTTCGAGATTGGACCGGTGGTAAACGAAACGGCTAGCTATGCAGCGTGCCACATATTCCTCGGCTTCACGGCTGGACTCATCTCCTGCGCTGGAGGATATAAGTCTTCGAGCTCGCCAGACTTGTAACAGTAACGCAGCTGCGCTGGACATTCTTTCACTACAGGACTTCGTCATTCATTCGTTCTTTTGCCTTTTCAGTCACTCTTTTGTCAACTTTTGACTAGTCACTCATTCCAAACATCACTACTCGCATCAATATATACACTATGAAGTCCGTAGCTGTCCTCCCCGCCATCCTGGCGCTGGCCAACGCCCACGCCACTTTCCAACAACTCTGGAAGAACGGAAAGGATCTTGAGAGCACCTGTGCCAGGCTGCCACCTTCCAACAGCCCCGTTGAGGACTACACAAGCACTGCGCTGCAATGTCAGTACCCCTCGAGTTCCCACTTTGGATCTGTGCTGACAGCAATCTAGGCAACGTTAGCCCTGCTCCCGCTGAGGGAAAGTGCGACTTTGAGGCTGGTGACACAGTCACTATCGAGATGCACCAGCACAACACCCGTGACTGCAAGGAGGAGGGTCTTGGTGGTGCTCACTGGGGTCCCGTCCTCGCATACATGTCCAAGGTTGAGGATGCTGCCACTGCCGATGGTTCCAGCGAGTTCTTCAAGGTTTACCAGAACACCTGGGCGAAGAACCCAGATGCCACTCAGGGCGACAACGACTTCTGGGGCACCAAGGACCTCAACTACAACTGTACGTACGGCATCATGTCCTCTGGAAACTACTGCTAACAACCCAATAGGCGGAAAGCTTGACTTCACCATCCCCAAGAACATCGCCCCTGGT